ACAGCGAAATTTGATGGCCGTCAGGCACACCTTCAAGGTATAGACTACCCACCATTCCAGGACTCTAGGATCATTCCCCTTGAAGTAGTTCGAAACAGTAGAAGTGGGTCCGGACGGACAAAACGCAAACAATAGCACATTTTTTTTAATTCTTAAAAAAATGTGCTAAAAAGTGCTAGGAAGCAAGGGGAGCATGAAGGTAAGACATGGAGTATGAAAAACGAGGTGAAGAAGAGTAGGTTTAATGGAAAGAGTTGTAAAGAAAGGAAAAGCAACAGAATCGCGAATGTTTCGTGCCGATAACTTGGAAAGAATGCGCAAAGTGTGGACGACGTGTTTACAGAGGGCGTTGCTGTAGGAAGAAAAGTAAAGGAAAGAAATGTGAAGGAGAAGGTGAGAAAGAAAACGAGGAAGGAAGGGCGCAGAAAGAAAGCGTAAAGAAAGTATGAGAAAAGAGTTTTTAAACTAGGACGTGTAAAAAAGTAGGTGCAAGGGGTATGAAAGAGTTGTGTCGGAGACTTGATGGGGGGAATGAATGACACTGTTTGCTACAATTAGGCGTGGGACACCTTTTGAGCAACAATTCGTCCTAATATTCCAATACAAAAAGTACCAAAGTGCTCTTGCGATTACCCCAATAACGTTGTTTCGACGTAAAAAATGAACTTCTGTTAACGAGCGATTGTTGCTCGCGAATGAAGTTAAATTTTATATCAAATTATTATCAGTGTGTGATAAAAAGACATCTATTATATATGGCAGGTTTTTATTCCTTGAATAACGGCGAAAATGCAGAAATTAGCTAAATAATTTTTGTTTTATGCTAATATCGTAATATTATGTATTTGAATGAATGTTTTTTTAAACAAAAATGTTGACCCAAAAGGCAGTTATTGTGCAAACAAACTACCAATTTTTCAATGTAAATGCTACCTTATCAGACCAAGACCTCTATATCTATCTATATGTTGACTATGCTCTCCTTTCTAAAATTTGTTTTTGTTTGATGGAAATTGATAGCTAACAAAGTTAAACTCATTTAACGAGATATTGACATTAAAACCTTACACAGCAAAACCTAAAACTAATTTCAATAAAATATTTTTTACGCAATTTCTAAAAGAGACTTGATCGCTATCTTTATGCAAATCTTACATATAGCGATAGCGTTCTCTGGAACGACGGTTTGTTTATAATACAAAACGGTACGGCCCTTCTCGTAGAGATGGCACCTTAAACATTGACAAGAGATAATAAAACTTGGATTTTCAGGAGGACGAGCATTGACCTTTTCAGATTACTTTGGTAATAGACACCCCGATGTAATTTACTGTCTGATTTCGCTTTCACAATACAATTTAATAACAACTGTTACGTGCACAGCAATCGAAGACGAATACAAGACGTCGTCATACAACCCTCAATAATATTGAGCGTGTCTGTTAAGAAGCAGCATGCCATTTTCGTCGAACTTATTTGTACAGCGCTATCTTATCGCGATTTTTTGTTTTCCTGCACACTGCACATGCAGTTTAAGTGAAATCGGACCGTAGTTAATCTGGATCCGCCACTTCTCTCATTGCCGACCGTGCACTTGCCCGATAAAAACTTTATTCCGGACTACTTACATGGCGTTCTCGTGGCCCAAAAACCGAATGCCCTACCGTTATTGCGTCTGGACTAAATCCTACCCTTTTTTTAAATTTTTAGCACGGCCTAAAATGGCACCGAATAATTAACACGGTCATCTTTAATCATGACCGAATCGGATTCGTTCTATCCCACGAATCATGTGCGCGTTAGGAGCATCAATAAACGGACCTGAAAGAAGGTAGTCTGAAGTAAGTGTGGAGGAGGGTCTGAAAAGGCGCAAAGAGAACGTAAAAAGACATCATTTCATACTGCATGTGAAGCAAGAATGTGTGCAAAGAGGAGGCGTGAGGCGAAGGAAGAGGGAGTGAAGCATTCGTAAAATAGTCATGAATTACTCATGGAGGAGTAAAAGCAGAAGGCTAAAAGAGCACAAGAAAATGGAAAATGATTGTCAATGTTACTGACAGAACAGCAAAAGGTTCAATTCCGTTCTTTTCATGAACATTTTTATAGGTTTCTGAAACTTATAGCTCCAAAATACGATGGCGATTCTTTTTAGGCGTCGGCGTCGGGACGGGGGACACATTTGGGAAGGGAATTGAATGAAACGAACATTGTACGTAAGAAAAGACAGGAACAAAAAAATATATTACACGCAGAAAAGGAACCAGGAAAAAACCTTCTTGG